CCCGGGTCTCACGTCATGCACACCTTGGACAGCCAGCTCCCGGGTCTCACGTCATGCACACCTTGGACAGCCAGCTCCCGGGTCTCACATCATGCACACCTAAACAGTGTTTCTGTGTTCTTTCTACCTCCCCTCACTTCAGGGCTTCCCGATCTGTGTAGAGGACTGCAAGATCTTTTAACCTCTCACGTTGGTTTTTCTCATGCCTTGTGCCCAGCTGATCAGTTCCAGTGACTTGTGTCCAATGATGAATTGGTGTTTAGAGCCCCAGAGATCACTGCTTATTTGAAACATTCGGGGAGGATCTGGCTGTAATGTCACATGGGTCTCAAGGTGTTTTTGCTCACACTTTTGCCTCAATTTAATGAACAGTGGATTTTTGACTCAGATTGTTTAAATTATGACTTCGTTCTATCTTCTTTTGGATATGTAGACATTGCTTTGATGTCAGCTGACTCTAATTGAAAGTAGGGGAAGAAGACAGATCTGTGGGAGTCACTAAGACTGAGCATCCAGTTAACGCTTTAGGGGGTTTTGTTGACATGTGGGAATCTTAATCACAGTTTATGGGTATTGACTTTTAGATTTCCTTCCAGTGGAGGAATGGTTAGTTTGGTCCTTCCTGGAGTCAGAGCAGGTGGACCAGGTCTCTTCAGAGAGAAGGCTTGGTTCTGTGAGCCGACCAGGTGGGGCAAGCGCACTACAGATTTTCATTTGGGGTAGAGTTTGGGCTGAGTCTTTTTGAAACAAAAGTCTTTTTGTTAAGGTAAAATAAGAGAGTAAAAGAGTATTTGGCTCAGTTGTTAAGGATGTGAGGAGACCTCTATCCTGTGCTGGTGATTGCTCAGGCTGCTGACAGTTTCCAAAAAATGGTAGAGGGGCTTGACTGAGAAGAGGATTAACAGAGCTGAAGACCAAGATGGGGACAGCCCAAGAAATAGGAAGACAACCAGGCTGAGAGCGTGGATGAGAATTAGGCCTTGGAAGTTCCTTTGACTTTGAATTTGGGAAGGCTGGTAGTCCTGGGTCCCCTTCTTATGGCATTTGTCTTCTCCCTAAATGAGAAGGGGAATCTAGTGTGAGCCGTGACTATTGGGAACTATTACTGTGCACAGGGTCTCTGCGTCTCAGCATTCAGGGAGAAAAAAAACTCTGCATTCAATTTAAATGTATTCCAGTGATTTGCGCACAAGGAGACATGGGCAGGGATACAACAAAATTAACACTCCCTGTTCTTATTCATGAGACTTAGCGATTGGGTCAGTGTCATTTTCTAAAAATGCCCTTTTTTCCAGGACTTGAGATCATTTCTACTAAAATAAATAAAGGAAGTTGTGCATTCCATCAATTTATGTATCATTTTCTCATGATCAGAGTCATCTCCTGCTGACTTGAGTTTATTTAAGCCATCCTCCTGTACTAGCGGTGGATCTTGGTGTTATACATGGTATATGTGTATACACACACATATATATCTTTTATATATTTATGTTATAAGCTACAAGTAGAAATAAGAAAAACACGATCTGGAGTTTTATTGTATTTTTATGTTTTTTCCCCCCTTAGTTCTGACAACATGTGGATTTCAAGAAAAACCAATTTTTAAAAAGCCGAGAATGTTGATTCATGGTGTTATTGTCTTTATTTCCTGTAAAGAAAACAGGATTTTTTTTTTTTTTTTGAGACAGAGCCTCAAGCTGTCCCCCTGGGTAGGGTGCTGTGGCATCACAGCTCATAGCAACCTCCAACTCCTGGGCTCAAGTGAGTCTCCTGCCTCAGCCTCCTAAGTAGCTGGGACCACAGGCGCCTGCCACAACGCCTGGCTATTTTTTTGGTTGCAGCCGTTATTGTTTGGTGGGCCTGGGCTGGATTCAAACCCACCACCTTAGGTGTATGTGTATGGCACCTTAGCCATTTGAGCCACGGGTGCTGAGCTGAAAACAGGATTTTCATTAGATGATTTGACATGTGTATATAAAGTTTTGCCTAACATTTAAATGATTTTTGTATGAACGTTTGTGAAGGTGTTGCCTTCTTTCTTATAGCACCAACTATTAAAAATACAGTGTTACCTTGCCAAACCACTTTCTGTATGTCAGTGAAGTTTCAGGCAGTTTAAACTTACTTCTACAAGAAGAGAGCTTGGTGGATACAAGTTTTCATTAAAGTACATTTATTTTTCCTTAGTGTTGACTTTGAAAGTTAATTTTTGGAAAGCTTGGAGGTACATCCTTTTGACAGATGATTACGATAAAGAATGCAGTGTAGTGTTATGTGAACGTTACAGTGTCATAGGGTTGTAAAAAGTTTGTTTGCATAGAGCAAAAGATTATGAGAGAATGAATAGAAATGAAAATAGTGTGGTTCCTTGGTGGGATTGCGGATGTTTTTTTTGGCTTTCTCTCTTTTCGTCTTTCCCAAGCATCCTTAGTGTTTTTATATCCTGTTAGTCATGAGTAGAAGGGAGAAAAAAAAAAAAACAGTTCTCACATGCTCATTTTTGTTTCATCTGAAAGATGTGCATTTCAGGGGTGTTTCTTCAAGGAGACTAACTGGGAAGAAAAACTGGCATTACGCTAAGAGAAATTAACTAGTCACAAAAGGACAAGTGTTTTATGATTCTCCTTATATGTGTGGTGGTAGAGTAGTCAAATTTATAGAGACAGAAAGGAGAGTGGCAGGTGGCAGGGGCTGGGGGAGGAAGGATGTGGGGTTATTATTCAGTGAGTACAGGGATCAGCTGGGGAAGATGAATAGATCTGAAAGTCAGTGGTGGTGATGGTTGCACAGCAATGCGAATGGACTTAATGCCTCAGAACTATGTACGTTAAAATGGCCAAATTCCAAATAGGGATTAATCAGCCCTGGACTGAGCTCCTGGGAGGGGGTGTGCTAAAGTCAGTGCTGTATGAGGGTTGGGGAGGGCACAGACTCCAGAGCTGGGG